GAATAAGCCACATGTTTGCATTTAGTATGCAAATTGCCTTACTATTATATATATTATTTTAAATATTTTTAGCTTTGGGTGAAGTCATGTAATGTGTTCTTAATGTGTGTTTTCTTTTTTCCTTTAGTGGTTCTGGGGAAGCATTCAAATGGATGCCAGAGCTGGAGAGTCCATGTATTTATTTGAGAAGGTATATTGAACTCTCTCACATAATGTGCAGTATATATTTGGTGGTAAAATTAGCACGTGCAATGGTATGTGTGGGGCCAGAGACAAAGTGTTTTAAAGCAGCATTTACGTTCCAGATAATCCATTATAAATTTTATACATAGAATACTAATTTGGAAAACTTTTTTCTGCTTCCCAAAGGTTGAACTTATTTTTAGTCAAACAAAATACTAGTGTGGTTTACAGTTTAAAAAAAAAAAAAAAAGGGGCTTCGCCCATTTTCCCTCAGCTTCCCTAAGAAGAGTTGTGTTGTGTGCTGATCTCTACAATTAACTTAGGTTTGCACTGACTTGAGCTGGACGCAGCAGGTGAAAACACTACAGTAAACTTTCTTTTACTCTACAGTCAGAGAGTCCTGGCCTCAAGAAGTCTGTGTCACTACTTTCTCTGAATACTCCAAACAGCAATCGTAAAAGACGCCGTTTGAAAGAAACTCTTGCACAACTGACCAGAGAAACAGACATGTCGCCATTCCCTCCTCGGAAACGCCCATCAGCTGAACATTCGCTTTCTATTGGGTCCTTGCTGGATATTTCTAACACTCCAGAATCGAGCACTGCCAATGGAGGTAGAGCTAAAAACTTTTATTCAGACACCCTTGCAATGTTTAAGAGCTCTCTGCCTACATGTAGGGAATTCTTACAGGTTTTGCTACAGATTTCCTAAGTAATTCCAGGCTTTCTCCTTTTCGAAGTATGCAGAAAGCAGAATTGGAGTGAAGAGTTCAGACACAGCCAGAGGCCAGGCTGCCTCTTGTCATCGCAGTAAGCATATTCATACCTGAAGGAAAACAAGGAAAAGATATGGAGTTGATAAATATGAAGTACAGTACAGTGTTACTCCAAAATGCTTCAAATACTCTGCTGAAAATCTGCAGCAAATGAGCAACGTAGTTAAGAGTACATCATCTAAAAGCCTCTCCAGTAGGATACTTGGAGAAAGGAGGACAAAGATTCTTTTCTAAAGGAGTTAAAGGGAAAATTCCTGCAAAGCCACTCTTCCTAGGTCTTTGAAAAGTTCTGTTGAGGTAACACTGTTTGTGCCAGCAAACTGTCATGTCTAAAACTTCACAAGAATATAAATCACCAACTGGTTTTGATCGGTTAATTGGCAAAGAGCTTTTAATGTCTCTGCACATGGTTCTTGTGGAAGAGAGGAAACTGCAAAATTGTGGATTAGTCAAAAGCTAATATCTGAGTTTTTTTGGGGCAGGGGGGAAAGCCCCAGTTCCATCATATAGAGGAGGTATCTGGAGTTACTACTTCTGAAAAGCCCCTATATACAAGTCAGATAAGTAATCTCAGTGAGGCACAACCTGTAAGTGATAATTCAGAAGGAATACAGGAAAGATCAGCTTACTCTCAAAGACCCGCTTTCTTAGATCATGCTAGCGCTCCTGTAACCCCTGGTACGGAAGTTTCTTCTAATCCAGCATCAGCAGACAGTTTCAGAAAAAGTGCCATTTTGAAAACAGGTGATGTACTTATTTCATAGTAACTGTGACAGTAATGAACTTTGACATCAGAATGAGTGAGTACAGGTCTCTGAGGTCCAATACAGGAGCAAGTATTTAAAACTAATGGACTGCTGCTCCACCTTGGCTTTAGCTTTAAGAGAAATGACTTTCTTGTGTCTTCTCCTCCCTGTTCTACCCCGCCCCGGTAGGATGAGATGTAAGTGTTGCATGCAAGAACTGATTTTAATAAATGGTTTTGAGCTACATACCTAATGCAAGGATAGTAGGCAGCTGAAAGATAATTGTTTACATGGCAAAGTGAAAGTAGAACAAGTACTTTTGTACATAATGTATGTATAAATAATGCTCAGCACCTAATCCTCACTTCCTACTAAATGTAATAGGATTAAGTCATTGACCTGCCCATAAGTGGCTTACTAGTTTCAGACTAATTTTGAGGAATAATATATTACTGTTGTTCTATAATTAGTCTGTAATAAAGAAAGCCATTTTCTAGAAAGAGCTCTGATAACTATAGAATAATCTACAGAATAGCCTTTAAAAAACCCCGTTATCTTCCCTTAAAAATTCTGAAGATTTTTTTTCCTGTCTTTGAAGGTGAGCTTTTTTTAGGGACTCTATTGTAATAAAGCTCTATTTTCTTTTGGGAATATCTCGTCATCAGAAACGCCAAAATCCTGTGCAAGGCCTTCCAAAAACTCAACTCCTCTCCCACTAAAGCAGTCAGCAAGATGGCAGGTTGCAAAGGAATTGTATCAGACAGAAAGCAACTACGTTGATATTCTAACAACAATCATTCAGGTAAGCTGGTTTTAAAGCAAATACAGGTCAACTGTAATAAGACATCTAATGTTTACGTCAGTGATTATTTTCAACCTGTGATCTGCAGGCTTTGAGAGCTTGGGTGCATCAAAGGTTCATAAAAAAGACAATGTAAACAATCGTATGTAATTTTACTGACATATAAAAATGTTTAGTATCTGTTAATAAGGCTGGTAAATACAATTTCTAATCTGGGATCTGCAGTGGAATTGCAGTTTGTATGGAAATTCCAAGCTTCAGGAAAATAGGATCTTCATGATTCAGGTTTTTAATATGTTAGTGAATAGAGAGAGATGGTAGGGGGGGAAAAAACTTTTTTTTAGTTATTCCAAGAAGAGCAGAATAGCAAACAGCTTACAGGAAGAGTTTAATTTCTAGAAAGCTTGTTTTCATTGCAGCTGATTATCTACTTAAAGAATGAGCTAAGATATGTGTGAGTAGAAAAGTAGATGAAAAGGGGTTATGTTGTAGTGATGTATCAAACTCAGTGTTTGTATCTTAAAACCACTCCTCCATAACCCACTCTTGCTAAATGGGAGTATCTCAAGATTGTGACTGCAGGAAAGTATGATCTGGAGGGAAAACACTTGCTTTCATAACTATTTCTAACACAATGTGTGTCGGTTGGGAGGGCATTAACTCTTTTGTCTAATTCATCAGTTATTTCAAGTTCCGTTGGAGAAGGAAGGACAACTTGGAGGACCAATCCTTGCACAGGAAGAGATTAAGACCATATTTGGCAGCATTCCAGATATTCTCGATGTGCATACTAAAATCAAGGTAAGCTGCAACTTTTCCCCTGCAGGGGAAGCTTTGACATAGACTTTGAATCTTTTCTGCATGCTTTATTTGCTGGATGGGTGTAGATTCATCCTAGTGCTGTTACGTAGTGTTCAACCTATGGAATTATGTGCAAATCCAAAGTACGCTTTAAGATTTAACACTTATTTATAAATATCTGAAGCCTGAGTATTGTGTGTGTAACTAATATTGCCATTCATGAGCTGGCTTCTCCTCTTCCCATTTTAATACCTTTTCCTGTAGGAGGTTCTCTGTAACTGATACAAAACTGGTCAAAAGGGCCAGGGGTATCAAATGGTAGTCTAACTCTCACAAGTGCTTATAACATACATGGTTTCTGTTAAAGCAATAAGCAAGGACTCTTGGAAGGATGGCTAAAGCTATGGAATTAAAAAAGGAAAAAACAAAAAAACCAAAAACAAAACAACAACAAAAAATCCTCCAAACCAACCAAACAAAAAAATTGGTGTTTTCCTGGGCTTTAGACATGTTCATATAAGGTGACATCCATCATTTGGTAGGAAAAACTAATCGTTCCTTAAATGGCTATGAACCAATTGTCAGAAACTACCAGCTCATAAAACTGGCACTTCAGCCTCTGAAGCAGTTAACCTGGTACTGAGGCCTAATAAGAGCTGATTAGAATTCCCTATGAGATTGTTTTCTTGAGGCTTTCTTTACTGTATATTTTGATCTGGATTGCAAGTGCTCTCTGAAGCCATCTCTGGGTCTCACAATAGACTACGACGCAATTCTTCCTCAAATATGAAGTCATAAAATCTCCTTCAAATAATGGCATATGTCTATTCCTGTCTGCATTTCACAGTAGGCTTTTAAAATAGAGGGACTTGCAGACTGCCTGTTTGGTGTTTTCGTCATGTTTTTTTTTTTTTTTTTCTCCAACTGTTGCGATCCAGTCTAGTTAATCATGATAGGTATTGATATGTGCCCACTGAGACTGAGATGAAAGTAGAGCATGTGTATCGATGTGTCAAGTGGGATTCACCTGCAGCATGCAGTGTAGACAAGGTTGCTTAGATGTAGTGGTTGTGTTTTCCTTCATCTTTTAAGTAATAATGATAAGTGGCAGCAACGAACCAATATTAGTGGTGAATCCTTTTCACTTAAGGTGAATCCTGAACCTTCAGCTGTGTCCTCCTGTCCCTGTTATTAGCTGACAGTGAAGAAACTTGATCCTTATCAAGCTGATACAGGCTTAACAGCTTGGTCTCACTTTCCTTGACACCCTGGTGCAGCGAGGGAAGTCTATGCTAGTTTTATTTCAATCCTATCTTATGGACTTAAGAGTCCTATGTTAGTTGTGCACTCTTAATTAGAATTGGTTTAACTGTCTTCTGTGTATATTTTTTAATAATCTTCTGGGATATGTTCTGTAGTGTGTTGGACACAGCAGTGTGATCTTGTTGCACAGTTGGTTAGTGCTGATACACAGCTAGGCTCTGCTTGCATTGATTCAAAACTATATATTCAGTAAGCCAGAGGTCTCTTGCTTTCAGCTCTCAGTAGACTAAAGGGCCTTAGTGTGAAATTGTACAGCTTTTAGGATTGCCTGTTTTGTCAGTGTGGAAACACACAGCTAATTATGTGTTTGGCGGAACACTGATCCCATCTTACAGCTTTATGCAGTTCATTCTCATCTTATTTTCTTCCCTCCCATCCCTGCATGTATTCTAGGAAGACCTGGAAGATCTTATGATGAATTGGACTGAAAGCAAAAGTATTGGTGATATCATTCTTAAATATGTAAGTTTCTGTTTCTTTTTTTTATGCATTAGGGCTATTATGAGTTATTATCTTGCCTTACAAATAATCCATTTGTAGGAGCTAGCGAACACAAGTAAAGCACTACTGAGTGAGAAAGAACACTAACTTGTATCATTGTATTTTCTGTTTAGACTTTTCAGTTGAGTTAGGTGATATACTTTGTATAGGTAATACATACACTTAAACTTGACATGGATTTGCCCACTTGCATGAGGAGGTAAAACTGCAAATAGACATTGTTTGAGAACTGTAATTTGCTAACCCTACAGACATGCTTTTTACTTGGACATTAAAAGGGGCTCTTCCTGTAGCCTTAGCTATCTGCTGCCTCTGATCAATAGTAAATAACTAGGAAAATAACTTTTCACGGAAACTTCTTGTGTTCTTCCTTCAAGACTTGAAATGTGTAAGTGAATAAGGACTCTGTGTTTTCCCAACTACAGAATGTGCAGAACAGGAAAGCTAGGTCTGGGTCTGCAATGCATTTTAACATAAGTATTCTGCTAGGTATCTTGTGCTTTTGCTGACCTGATCATTTTGAGGCAAATAGTGTTTGGCATTCAAAAGTTTTCAGTCTAAGGTATTGCTTTTGGTCGTTTAGTGTCTTTTAAAGGTGATTGCAGTAACTGGAGAAAATACCTGTCTGAAACTTCCAAAATTCTCACCAAAAGCATCTTTTAAGTGAGAATCTGCCTTCTACTTGAGCTGCTCAGCAGCTTCTAAGACTGTCACAGGTGTACTTGATGTTTCTGAGAGCAGTCGGCATTTAATCAGCAACATTGAATCTTGGGCATCTGGCATGCAAGAATGTCTTAACTTGTTCTGTGAACACGCATGGGTTTACAACACATTTTTTATTATTCTTTATTGAAATGTGCCTTTGAGCAGCTTTGTATGGCTCAGGGCATATGAACATATGTACAATGCTACATAATATGTAAAGTGGAGCTGTAACAGTTGTTTCTTTCAGTCAAAAGACTTGTTGAAAACATACCCTCCATTTGTGAATTTCTTCGAAATGAGCAAGGAGACTATTACTAGATGTGAAAAACAGAAGCCAAGGTTTCATGCCTTCCTAAAGGTAAGTGTCTGCAGAACTAAGTCTTTGAGTAGATCATGGAGACCATTACCAAGTAAACTACTTAATGCAGTAGATGGAAGAATGTGGAATTTTGGAAGCTTGGAGGAATCTGAACATCTCTTCATGAGACAGAAATAGGAAGGATTTGAACTTCAATCCCTCAAGCTCCCCGTAAGACTCATTTTCATAAGAGGTCCAAGTTCCTCCTCTGTTATACAGCTTTCAAGATAGTTTGATTATATGCATTTTTTGCTGGAAGAAGTGCATTCTGATTACTTTCTCCCAAATACATGTCTTCTCTTTTCTGTAAAGATAACTAGAGCTGCTGCTTTTTATTGGTCCCTCTCCCTGTGTTTAAAAGACTTGTATTTCTGAAATAGCTTTTAGCTCACTTTTGGCATCTGTTGAAGTTCCAGGGAGGTAGAATCTCTCAACGTTCTTGTGACTAATGCATAGGAGCATAACAGTGGAGATCTAACAGGAAGATGGTCTTCAAAGAAAGAGTTATCGGCAGATGAGTCTCAAGACTCTTGAGCTCTTCAGATAAAAGTATATAGTTGATTAATAGTGCAGCGTAGCTTGAACTTGTCTTCTGTATCCCACAAGTGTCTCTGAAATAGTGGAGTAACCAAACTGACAGATTTCGGCTCATGTTTTCTGAGGTACCAGGAGTGATATCCAAGTATTGATATCTAAAAGATGGGCAAATGAATAAGAGAAGAGGCTGGCCCCCGTCCTGCTCCACATTAGCATTAGCTTCTGAAACAAGGACTGGGGGGTTGATAATATGGACAGCTTAAAACTAGACATTCTGAGAACATAAATAGTGTGATAAATACTGTGCAGATTTGAATATAATGTGTTGTTTAACATGATCTGTTAATGACTGAGTATCTGTTGTAAATTATTCTCAAACTTTTGCTGCAATGATAGTTTCAAGGAAGACAATTTTTCTCCTAGTTTGTGATTTTTTTGGGTGGTGTGTGGGGGTGTGTGTGTGTGTGGGTGTGTGTGTGAAAAAAGTAAGAATTATTTTCTTTTCCCCCTTTTTTTTCCCCAGATAAACCAAGCTAAACCTGAATGTGGCCGCCAAAGCCTAGCTGAACTCCTTATCCGTCCTGTTCAAAGGCTGCCTAGTGTTGCTCTACTACTAAATGGTAATCAAGTAATGTATTTTTTTATTAGTTTGTCTGTAAAGGTCTTAAAACCAAGATAATGTCTGCTTTTTGTCATAATTAGCAACAGCTTTTCTCATATAAAACAAGCCTGATTCTGGGAGTTAATCATGCTTAATGGCAGTCAGCAAGACCAATTACTGAAGAAAGCATACTTTTGGCTAAATTTCACTTGTTCATATATTTGTCTGCAGGATACAGGTAGAGGAAAAGGTTGCTCTGACAACAGTTTTCTCTCTTCAAATACAAATATAATTGAGATCAAATGCAGCTAGCATAAACTAGAGAGCAATTCATATTGACAAGGCTCACAGCTTCATGTGTTCCACCTGGTATCAACCACTTGCTAATAATGATTATGTTAATAAAAATAATTAAAAAACCCACACCACCATCCTTTGCTTCAGTTAGAAAAAGACTTCCATGCTTGTCTCTGCACTTCAACAAAAACAGCTTGTGGTCTTGTTGATTTTTGAATAGTTTAAGGGTTTGGTTTTTTGTTGTAGGTGGGTTTTTTCTTAAGGAGATGCATGGACAATTGCTGCTCACCCTACTTGCCCACTTAATCAAGGCTATTTGGACTCCAGGATAGCTGTGATTTCTTCAGTCATCTTATCTGACTTACAGTTTAAACTTGAATTTTTCATATTTCTTTTCAGGCACTTGTAATGTGTGTGGGTTTTTAAATTTTTTTTTTTTTAATTGTAGATATTAAGAAGCATACATCAGAAGAGAACCCAGATAAAATAACTCTAGAGAGAGCTATTGAATCATTAAAGGAAGTGATGACGTAAGTGATGTTCATTCTATGAAACGTACTGTTATACCTTTAGATTTCTCTGTTCCTTCTGAATTGCTTTTAGTGTGTTGTTGCCATAACTTCAGTCTCCATGTAAGCATACATAATTGTATGTGTTCTTCAGTCTCCCTTTGGCCACTGTTGTCACTTTGGCATTCTCTTGAAGGAGTCTGTGGCGTTGTTACCCAGCACTTCTACCTGAATGTCTTCTGACTCCCTGCCTCAGCATGAAACTGAATGTCCCTAGTCCTCTATTGTGTTCCAACTCTTATTTCTATCTATTCCCTCCAGGATGGAATAGATCTGTTTTGTCTTTAAATCTTACTTCTGTGCATATATCCGTTGAAAGGACACGCTATTGATGGAAGATTAGTTTCTCTTCTGGTCCTGTATTAGCTATTCTTGGCACCATTCCACGAGTTAATTAGCTTAAAGCTGAAGCTGTTTAGATTGTAAGTCTCACCTCTTTTGAAGTGTAGCGTATCTCTCTAGCAATGAGACCTTCTGTATTAATTGGGTAAATGTTTGTCCGATTCTAACAACAACAACAAAAACTTTAAAATTGTAATTATTCTTGCATCTGCTTCTTGGTGAGCTGAGCCCTGACTTGAGGGGATAAAATGCAGGCTGTAAAGAACTGCATTGGGTTGGTCTCTAGTTCAAAATCTTACGGGGCAGGGGAGGAGAATGGTGTGTCAACTACTGATAACATGACAAGAATATTGTTCTAGGTCCAAAGTTTCCTATGTGCTTAGCATATGGTATTTGGATACTTCAATGAGCAAGTGTGGTTGATCTTATAGTTTACACAGTAGCACTGGAAAATATATCTGCATGTTTAGCTTCATTATTTTTGTATGTCTCAAATGCAGTGCATTCATTTACTGTTGCTTGATATTGAAGATAAATATAATATGCTTCCCTCAGACATATTAATGAAGACAAAAGAAAAACAGAGGCACAAAGGCAGTTCTTTGACGTTGTCTACGAAGTTGATGGATGTCCAGTAAGTAATTTCTCTGAAGCTGCGGACCTGTAAAATGGCTGCGCGCTAGTTTTCTCCCTTTGCAAAAGTATGTGAGGTTAAAATGCAATGGTGCTGGTTTAAATAGATTTCCAGCGTTAAGCTGTAAGCAAGCAGTAATCCAGCCCTTGAACTAAATGCTTAATGAGCTTTTTGCTTCTATCACTTAGGCCAATCTCTTGTCCTCTCACCGAAGCTTAGTTCAGCGTTTGGAAACTGTAGCACTTGGTGATGACCTCTGTGACAGGGGAGAACAGGTCCCACTATTTCTATCTTTCTATTCAATGATTGCCTAGAGGTAAGATAACTATATAAGTACATCTCATGAACTGAATTATAAAAGGCTTGACACTACATACAAATATAAACAAGTAAAATTTAAAAACTTTGAAGCAGAATTCTAAGTCATGGAAAGCTGATAGCTCAACACATGCTGGTGTTGCTTTTCCATTAGCTATTGTATAAGCCAACATAAGTAGCTAGTCAATTCTGGATGATTGAGAGGTGTTAATGTAGCCTTTAATGTCTTGCAGCCAGATCAAAAAATTTAAAAGCAGCTTAATATGTTAAGAAATAAATGGTTATCTGAATAGCACTTTGAGTAGTACCAATGGATGAAAAAGTGCTGGAGTCCTTGGCTTAGCAAGATCTTTGTCCCTCTAAAGTTTAGTTATATTTAACGTGAGTAAATCGTGGGCCTCTGGGGTAGGTCTGTCTGTGCTTAGGCTACAAAAAAAAAAATCACATATTAAATGCCTTAGACTAAAAGTATGTTAGGAAGAACTAGGAGGGAAAAGTAATCTAACTGGGTTTTGGAGACTTATGTGGAGAAACTGATGTTGTGAAGGACACTTTATGAAAGTACTTGTTACTGTCTACAGCAGTTAAGAACGTTGTCTTCATAGAAGACCAACTCTAAAATAATCGAAAAGTAGTGCTGTCTTAAGCAGCATTTAGAGACAAAAGCCTAGTGTTGTGACTAGTGATGAACTCTTCCTGGGAGTCAAGTTGACTCAGCTTCATCACTTCTTAGGAAGGAAGGAAAGGAAAATGAAAACACTTTTAATAAAGCTTCTTGGCTTATCTCTTGTACAAGACACAAGCAACTGAAGATACCTTACTTAAAAAATATGTAAAATACCTATGTGTTAATGGAAAGTAAGAACTGACTGACCGACCTCCACTGCAAAACTCACTCAATGGTTGTATGCGCAAGCAACAGCAAGTAATATTTCTAGGACATAGCGCACCACAGTCTAAGTTGGTTCGTGCATATAGACATTGTCTTTTCTGTTTAAATCTAGACTACCTTGTGGTAGGTTTCAAAGGGTCCTTGCTTGGTTATACAGGGTAGAATTGAGGTGTGTAATGCAAAATTACTTCCCCTTTTGATTTTTTTTTTTAATTTATTTTATTTTTGAGGTGAGTGTATTGATGCTAACTAACAAGTATTGCTGGGCCGCTTGAACTGTAGACAGTGAGTAGTGAGATAAGTGAGTTCCTTAAAGATTTATGTGGTAGAGTAAATAGAGTAAAATACTCTTTAGAGTATTTTTCTGTAGCAAGGCTTTCTGTGCCTTCCTGTATACTACAAGGTAAAAGAATAGAAGAGGGAAAAAAAAAAAATGGCAATAGACCTTCTAACTTTAACCTCTTTGTCTTCTATTTAACTGCAGATAGCGAGGAAAAGGCATAAAGTTATTGGTGCTTTCAAGAGTCCGCATGGCCACACAAGGCCTCCTGCATCTCTTAAACATGTTGTTCTCATGCCTCTCTCCCAGATCAAGAAAGTCCTAGACATCAGGGAGACAGAAGGTCTGTATGTTTTCAAGTGCTGTGATAGCTAATGAAAACTGTGGTTCAGAGTATAAAGGATAAAGTTCTGCTGTTGTGGGATGGAATGCTAAGGTATATTTATTGTATGGTATGTTAGGTATGTGATTTTTAGTAAGCTTCTGTTTGCAGCTCTGTATGAGCTTGAGAATTCCTTGCATTGACACCTTTTAGCTTTTCAAGAATCACTGCAGGATGCTGAATTTGACAGAACTACTAGATGGCTTAGCATGAGCTAACCAAATGACAGTGTGAGTTAAACAGAGAAGTACACTTTTGACAGCTCTGGATTTACAAAACAAAACCAAAAAAACCAAACTTCAGTCCAGAGCATTAGACTGACCAAAGACAAGTGCTCTTGCTGTGAAACCAAATCTTCATTTAACTGGTGATAATGATGCTCAGGAGGAGCTGTGTTTAGCATCTTAAAAGAAATATTTAGATGACTTAATTTCTGTGGCTGCTCTGCCATGCTGAGACTGTAGGGGTTTCAGTGACGTAATGCATTGCTACAGCAGCAGAACTCATGCTGCAATACTGTTCCAGCCTTGATAGTGACTTCTAAAGAAGACTAGTCAGACTAGTTTCTAGATCTATACCCTAGAAAGATAGATTTGATATTTCACTGTAGGTGATGGTATGCATGTCATACTTGTTCTGTTTTATGTTCTCTGAAGCACCTGAACATAGAAACCCAATAAAAACATAGAAACCCAATAAAAAATAGGAATGACAAAGAGGGTAGGTGGTAAATGTGATGCCTACCTGCATTTTTAAAAGGTACTTTAGGGTTTCTCTTTTAAGAATTCTCTTTAAATTACAGTACCACACTTAAGTTTACTTTGGGACTTGGGCGATGGGAGCCATTTGTAAGCATACTATTTAATATTTGCTAAGAATTTTAGTGTGCAAATCTTAGGAGAGGTCAGCTACTCTCTTTTATATACACACTTTTATAGGACTGCTTTTCTAGTTCTGCTTTTCTGAATTGGCAATGGGTAGTTTTTTCTTCCTCTCTCAACTGTGTTTAGCATGCTTCAGCTGTGTCTGCTATAAAGGATTAATTTTCTGCTATTAAGTGAGCAATCTTTGTCAAGTTTAAACAGTAAAACCATTGTAACTTGACTATTTTAATGTGTCATTTATAGTACTGCTTTACAAAATAGGGTAAATGTTGTTCTCCTTGTTCTCTGTTGATAAAGAAATGATCTGTCCAACATTTCATGAGTTAGAGAATGAAATTGATATTTGCTGCTCTATCCAGTAAAGACTGACTAGTCTGCAGACTATAGTATGCAGATTATTTGGTGAATAAACAACCAAATGACCAGCTAATTTACACATTGTTGCATGAACAGCTGATTGCAGCCTCTTGATGAAGGATGCGGACAGAACTTGGTGCTCTTGCAAGTGATAAAACAGCTAATGTGTAAATAAAGATAAAATCCTTGCACCAAATCATATTGTCTCTAACTCTAGCTCCTAGCAGATGGAGGGTTAACTCTTCTGAAGGTTCACCCCTGAATTATATGAAAAATAATTATTCTTTGTCTTAACTCCTTGCCTCTTTTTTTTTTTAATAAACTGTAGATTGCCATAAAGCTTTTGCTTTAGTTGTGCGGCCACCTACGGAACTCAACAACAAGCTACTCAGTTTCCAGATGACAACTGAAGAACCTCCTAAAGAAGATTGGTTGAAGATGCTGTGTCGGCACGTGGCTAACACTATTTGTAAAGCAGATGCAGTAAGTACTCTGGAACCATGTTGCTGAATGGAAATATTTCTCTCTTTTTGGCTTGAAGCACATGAAGCTAAAGAACTTGTTAATGGTGGACATGCTTGAGGTGAAGTAGAGCAGAAAACATTTGTGCTAGCACGTCAGCAAGTGCGTGGTTAGAAAGTGGAAAAGGAAACCGCCTGGAAGTTAGCTTCTACAGAAGCTATTAAGTACTTAAAAATCAAGAATCATGCCCTTCCCCCAGCACAAATTAATTATTTATAATTTAAACTCTGCACTGCAGATCTAAACAGAATTGTCTTCAGCTTGATTCTTTCACAGCTATGTTTCAATTTACAATCCCAGCATTATGAATCGTATGTTTTGGTTTAACTCTGTGTTAAGTTGAATTCTTTGTTCTACACCTTATCTGCATGGGCACCATAGTGTAAGAGACATGTCCTCCTATAAACAGAAGCCTACAACCTTAAAACAAGGAAATAAAGAAAACAATGAAATAAAGAGGCACTGGCCTCCTCACATACTTAGAAGTTAACCTTGTGGGCCTTCCACAGCCAGAAAACTACTAATTTGAAGAGTAGATTCTCTTCAATTAGGGCAAGAGATTTTCAGCTAATGTTTTAATTATGTAAGAGTGTATGCGTATCAGTCATCCAAATTTGCTGAAAATATGTGCAGTACATATAGCTGAAACAACCTGGGATTAAGCTAGAAATGTTTTGTTCTGCATTGTGCTCTTACTGTACTGTATTTGGTTGTCTGTGATTTTTAAAGACATGCTTGTTCCAGGAGAGGTAGTTAAGTAATCAAAATAGCACCTTAGTTTTATTTTGTTTGGCTTGTCATCTAGGGACTTATGAATAAGAAACTTGGCTTTGTCCTTTTCCTTCCTTTTTAGGTACAGAGTAGGAAAAGTACTGATTCAGAAGTGTTAATTTGCTTTAATCTGTCTGTCGCCTATCTTCAGTCTCTTGTGTTACGTATAACACAAAGGGATGGAAAAATGTTGGGTTTTTTAATAGAAATTAAATCTTTGTGTAATAAATGTATCATTCCCTCTTGCCCCAGGACATTCAGAATCATATGCTGACAAATTGTAATGTACTATGCTGAATCCCATTAGTTATAATTTCTGTAACTACTGCTTTGTACCAACTATATAATACTCTTTTCTTGCTGATTTAAATGTCAAATTGAGCTTCAATTTAAGCACACTTCCCCTTTTCCCTGGTTTTCAAGAAAGCGTTGACTTTGCCACATGGTGGCAGTAAAGGCTTTAACTACTCTGTGTTAGACACTAGGAATAGCCATACAGCTTGCTGTCTGCTGTCCTTTTTTTCCCCAAACTTTTTTTTTTTAGGTAAACTGTCTTTTCTCAAAATAAAAACCCAAAAGAACAACAACAACAACAACAAACCAGCCACTTCCCACTCCCATCACTCCCATGCACTGTCCCCCCACCCCCGGTTTTGTAAGTAGCTAGCCAGAGATTGCTTTGCACATGCTAGAGTTTAAGAATGAGGCATGGGAAGAAAAAAAAAAAACCCACAAAAAAAAACCCCAAAACAAACTTGTGGCTATTCTGAAACACTGTTGGGCTTAAGCTTAACCCAACCACTGTTGGGTTTAGTCTTAATGTTTGACAGCTGGAGCTATCAAGATTTTACTTCAGGAGAGTGCTAGATGTGTCAGTGAAACAAAGGGGCATACATGTTGTGAAACTCCGCAGGTATACTTCATACTGCTTTTACTTTGGTCAACCCTGAACTTGAAACTGAATCAAACAAACCGAATGTAAAACTACTGATGAATTGGTTTCATAAACTGATTGCACCAGCAGTTAATCTCATGAAATGGCATGAAAGCAAATAGCTGCTTAATTGTATATTAAGAATTGAATATGGCAATTAAAACCTCTAAATCTGACCTAATGAACTAGAGAATGATATTTTGGCAAGCACTGATGTTTGTTGACCATTATTAAGACTATTTTTGTCTATAGGAAAATCTCATTTATACTGCTGATCCTGATTCAGTTGAAGTAAATACTAAAGATATGGACAGTACTTTAAGCAGAGCATCCAGGGCAATAAAGAAAACATCAAAAAAGGTAAGATACTACAAAGACAGTGCTTTACAGTAAAACCCATTTTAGTCAGGGAACCGTGCTAGTATTCCTGTTTCAGGTGTTTTATAGTACTTACAGTAGTGACAGGAAAAACTTAATCTGAACTAAAACTCTTAAGTATAAGCTCCTTAAAGAAAGAAGGTGGAGAGTGTTTGAGGTTTTGACTGAGTAGTTTTGGAGTATCTGTATATAGTCTTAAGTATTATGGTCATAAGTATTATGTAGTCATTTTTGAGTCTGTTATAGCACTTACTCTGTTTAATATTTTGAATCTTTTAAATATATTGCAAAAAAACCCCAACCCTCAGCTGTAACTGTTTTTAGCATATTGAATGGAGTTTTAAACCTGCATGCAATTACCTAAATTCAAGTACCTTCAAAAGTAGGATGGGTGTAGAGTATGCGTGTCCTGGTAAGAAAATAGATTTTGAAATAGCAAGGAAGTAAGTGCTGAATGCTGGTGCTGCCTGTGTATGCTTTCCTTTGTGTATGGCTTAGCTGCTCTCAACTAATGGACTGAGGAACTGTGCCCTATTCTGCTAAGAGGACGTGGCTGGGAGGCAGGAGGAAGGCTGTCTGTTTGCTCTGTTATGTTGGATGTGCACTGGGTTTGGTTCTGCTAAAGTTCGTGGCCTGTGAGAAGGGGTGACAGAGAATGATGCGGCGAGGAGGAACCCTTGTTCCCCATTCTCAGCAGCCTCGCAGCAGGCTTAGTATGTTCAAGATGATAATACTGTTTCGTAGTGAAAACTGTAGAGGCTGCTGTAGTTTGGAAGCTGCTGAAGACTAAATTGAGAGCAACTTAAAGGAGGGGGGGCTGACTTTGCAGAACTCAAGGGATGTGGGCAAGCCTAGTTGACTAGACCTTATTTTGACTTCTCCCTGAATCTCTGCCCCTCCCCGCCATGTTGTCTTCGTATTTGGACAGAGTGAGAAGAGCAGGGGTGATGGGGAGCCTTAAAAGTCAGATCACCTTGTGGGTAGGTGTGTTTGGCTAGTTTTGACACAATCATATTAACATTTCAAGTTCAAAACTTGAATGGTAGCCTATATTGTAGTAGTTATTACAGCCTGATTTTTGTCAGTGTATAACTGCTTGTCAAACCCCTCAGGTTACAAGAGCATTTTCTTTTTCAAAAACACCAAAGAGAGCTCTTCGAAGGGCTTTAATGTCGCATAGTGCAACAGAAGGAAGAAGTCCCACTTCAGCTAATGAGAGTTATATAGGCAGCCGACTGACTAGTACGTCGTCATTAGCGGTAAGTGATTTGGCTGTGCAGGCCAAATAAGTAACCTTTTAAAGATCACGGTTATGTTAATGTCTGGTGCTGATCTTTCTTTAACAATTTCAAGATCCACAGTGGAAAAATTTATTTTTAACTACATTCATAGATGTGTTATTTTCTGAGCAAGAGTTGTTTAATGAGACGGCTTACTTGCTGAAACTGCAGAACAATCTGCTGGATGTACTAGAAGCTGGGAGTTGCCTTGTACAATTAAGTTGGGAAAAAAAACCGCAACCAACCTCTTTTGCCAGAGGTGGAATATGTATCCTCTTCTGAGAGAGTGACAAATTTCCGACACGCTGTCTTAAGTTGGTTCATGCTTTTGATTTTGGACAATATATACAAATGTGGTGAACAACCCTGAATAATATGGTGAAAGTATCAATGAAAGTAGTGAGATGATAGACATCCTGTGAAACAAACTGGGAAGGAAGGGTAGAGAAATACAGATGCTGCACCCTGAGAGTTTTAAAAAAGGCAAGGGAATGATCTCCTTATACATGTTTAAGAAAACTTGGTAAAATAATATATTGTTCTACATACTGCAACTCTTCGGCTATGCCTGACTACCTATTGCAGCTTTCTTCTGCTACATTAGGTCAAACTCAATTTCCTAGTACAGTCTAGTAAAGCAGGCTACATTTTGTAAAAATTTTTTCATCATCTTCACTTTTATTCTAGTGTTTGAATATACCTGTATGCTGAGTAAACATCTGCTTTAAAGTCTGTAGTTTGTAGGACAGAAGGCCAAGAACAGGATTTCCTGTGTATCTTTCTACTACTGCCTGATATGTCAGTACCTTAATATAGACATAATTCAGTATGTTTGGGTGGCCGTTAAATTGTACAACATGAAGATATTGCCCTGCTCTCCCACATGAGATAGGCATGAGAAAATATGAATCAGTAAGGGAGGAAGTATCACAGTGGACTCCCTTGCTTTAGAGGAAATAAAAAAAAAAAAAATCTGCCAGTGTGGCTATACTCCAGTTCTCAGAGATTTTCTTCCTTCAATTATGATTGCTCCAATAATTGTTTTAGAATTCTAATATTCTGTCTTCATTTTCATACAGCACTGTCTCTCATTTCTTATGAAAATGCAAGTTATGCACTTTTCTCTTTGTGTGTGTGTACCCCATTCAAAAAAAACTTTTTTCCACAAAATGATAGGAACTTATAGTAGTAAAAACTATTTTCATATTTCAAATTCTTCCCAGAGTTCTTGGACCTCGGAGGTAGTAAGCTGCAGCTTGGCAGCAGATCATATGTTGTGTGATGTCGTGTGGTGTGGGTTTTTTTTTTTTTTAACCAATCCCACACACCACTGAACTTGCATAAAGCCTTTTTGGTTGAATGATAAGGTTGAGGGGAAAAGAGAGGTTTGGATTCCAGCCCCTCAAGTTGGGGATACCAGTGCAGTTCTTGAGTAGGAAACTAAAGCTGCAGGAAACCTGTCTGAGTCCATTGAGAGAGTCAAAGCTGTTATTCAGACACGTTGTTTTATTTAAATAAAATCCTGGACTGTGCTTTTGTGGGGATTTTTTGGTGTAGAAAAACTATAGAGTAAAAATACCAATAAAGCTTGGATGCTTGGGCTTTTTCTTGTTTGGACTAACTCTTGAACCCCTTCCTAATTGTAGATTGCTTGTTCATCTTCTACGTGCAACCTAAATGGACCTGTCAAATGTGCTGTTAATGTTCATCGCTCCAATTCTGTGGATTGGAGCTCTCAAAATTCCAGGCCTCGACCTGTGCTGTGTCCTGGCTCTCCAAATATTTGTCTTTCAAATGCTGTAGAAGAAAAAAACCTCTTCCAACTTGGAAAGCTTAAATGGTCATGCCTTGGACAGATCATGTCCTGTCCCTATTATTACTAGCACTTGTGGTGATACTGGAGATAATAACCAGTGTGGTGCTGAAAAATTCTGTACATCAAAATCCTGACTGTTAATGCCCATCTTGCATGAAGTGAGCAAAAAATCTTGATTCCTCTAAACCAAGACAGCACGGTACAACTATATAAAACCCTAGAATCCACAAAGTGTTTTACATTGTGTTGGGTTTTTCTTTGACTTGTTCCAATGCACAGGGTTGGAGTCAACACTCACATGTGGTCTAGTTCTATTTCTGTTCTGGGTGCAAAGTTAATTCTTTCACAAACCCTTTTAACTTTAATTTTTCTGTGTTTTTTTTTTCTTAATTTCTATAGAATTTAATTACTTATTGTTTAAGTTCAGTTGTCCAAGTGGCAGTGTAGCTCACTGGCCAGAGTTCTGAGGACTTTAATAACTTGGTTGCAGGGAAGTCTTGAGCAGCTAGTTTTACCTGTGGTTTTGAGTTTTTGTTCCCCTATCTGTAAACAGAAAAAAAAAATCCTGTATAAAATACTTAAGAGTCTACTAAGAGCTGCTATATAAAGAGGAGTTTAGGATTTAATTTTCAAATATTGCCTATGACTGCAAATAGAAGACTTGCCATAAAGAGATATTAGGCTTCATAGTGAAGTGGTATATCCTTACCTGCTCAAAATATCCCTGTTTAAAAGATTCTTGAAGCATGCAGGTGCAGCAAGCTGCCTAACTACCATGACCTGTTTATATGCTGAAAAGCTTGGCTGTGCTATAAAGAGCAACAGAAGATTGCTTGTGAAAGTATCTTGAGCTCTAATGTAAAAAGAATATAAAATCTCAGCTGACCCAAAGAGGTTAACTTTTAGTGCTACATATTGATGTGTTGGTTTCACTGTAATTTTAAGTCTCAGAAGAAGCCTATGCTCCTAGCACCAGAAAAGTCAGCTTTTTGCCTAGTTTGTGCCCATCCAGGTGCAGCTAAAGCAAGCTTTGGCAAATCACTGTAGTGTCTATTGCCTTCTGTAGACAAGAAGGCATGTGTTCGGCATCTAATTTGGGGCTCAAAGCTGGTAAGAATACAGAAGGCTGTAGGATCTGAGGGGAGCTTCACTTCTCCAAGAGGTTATCATAATGTATCTTGCCTTCAATTTGGAGAGAGATGGTTATTGCAAAAAGTGTGATGCAAGATGCATGCTAATACTTGGTTAACAGCTACTCTTCAAAACCAAGGAAAAATCTTTCTTCTGTGTTTTTTAAAATATATGCATTCTACTCGTTTGGTGCGGTTTAACTTTTCTGTTGAAAATCTAGAAATGCTGAATCATTAATTTCAAAAGCTGCCCATCTTAAATATCTTCTGTACTGTTACATTCCTTATATACTATGTATCAAGGTTGAGAAATTCACTATTGACATTGGCTAACAAATAATCAAATAACTTTTTTTTTTCTTCCCCAACAGGGTATTTCTTCTCCTTCCTTGGTCAGTCTTCCCTCAATCTTCGAAAAAAGGAGTCATACATTAAGTCGATCAACGACCCACTTGATATGAAGCAGGTTTAAAATACAATGCTGTATTGTAGTGACTGACAAGCAGCTGGCTGTTCAAATGACCTGTTACTGACATTAATGGTACCTTAGTCATTAGCACTTAGCAATGATTAGCAAAATGTTAGATAACACTAAGTTAATCACAAGGGATTTTTAGTTGTATTGAAGCAGATCAGCTAATCAGTGGAATAAGTAACTTGGTCTTCATTTAAGACACAGTATTCCCTTGCACAAATTTATCTTCTCACCAACATGATGGAAGCATTTTCTTTTATGGAAATTGTCCCCTCTAGGCAATAAACTAATTTGTCAGATTTTGAAAGGAAGATGATGTTCACATAACTTACGGCTAGTTTAGATGACTCTTATGCTTGCCTAACTTCATCAACTGGCAGAGCACTCTGATGTTTGAATTGTTGATTTCTTAAATGGAGATGCATTATGAAGTACCTGACCTTTCAAGTTAACCTGTTGTACAGCTGCTTATTCCAGATATTTTATAAATGTAGTTGTTCATAAAGAAATAGAATTGAGTTTCTGCGATTATGGTCTTCTGCAGCCTCACTGTAACACAGTGGTATGTTACGTGGGTTTATTTGAACAGTAACTTTAAAGGCTATGACTAGCTTTGACCACCAAAAATGATCAATTGAATTCTTTGAATTTCTTTAAAGTGGAAGTCTGAGGAAGTCCCTTTTAGTAGGGCTGTTAAACAAACAAAGCCCACACCTTCCACATACTTGGTTAACGAATCATCATTTAATGCATGGGATTATTGGTGTGACATCACAACTTGAGGGCCCAGTTTTGGTGTGTCAAACTTCAGGTGTAGTACTCCTAAGGCTTTTACCTGGCTTTCTCATGTATTTATGTCTTCCTTCAAAACTGTATGTTCACTTCTTTCATCTCTGAACAGTTAGTATGATGCAACGCTATCTCAGGAACTATCTAAATATGTATATTTCTGCATTTCATTAATAGTTTAACTGTCTTGTCTGTATTAGCAGGAGTTCTCAACTTCTGGTTTCTTTTTAACCACCAGTGTCTTGTCTTATGTCTATATGTAACTAGTGATACTTCTGAATGTGTCACTTAGCTGTTTTTTATATCTCTTTTTGCCAATCCAAGCACTGTAAATAAACTGTTTAAGATAACACTGCTTATGGCTTTGCTAAACAGGCTTTTTTATGCGAGTCTACTTTGTCTTTTCACATAAAAAGCGTTGTGTTGGGCTCCAGCCTACACATGTACTCTGATTAGCTATATAGCTATTCCTAATAACATATACAACTTGGTAGGCCTGGATCTGCCAGACGTGAACTTTTTTTCCTTAATATATTCACCATTTTCCCTTCTTTGCCTGGATATATGTATCCATGGGGTTTTTTTGTCCTTATCCATTCAAAATAAACATCTGAGCTAAATATGCACTGACACTTACATAATAAAGTGGCTCTAGGAAATAAACTATTCAATAAATACTATGCTAAAAAATCAACAACAGTTTTTGGTTTCTTTTTTGTTGTTTTCGGAAGGGCATCTTCAACCTGATAAAGTCCATGCAAACTTATGATAATATCAGCCTATCATTATTCTTCTGGTCGTCTTTAATTTCCATATTATTTGTAGCTTCTATATCAAGTTCACCTGCACTCAAAACCAATTGAACCTGTAGTGCTTACTGTATTGCCTAATCTTGTCATTACCACTCCTGCACAGCTCTGTTGTTGCTAAATGAATGGAAAATGATTGTTCAGAGTTTTTGTTGCATATAACTTTCTAACGGAGGAAATAGTTCTGCTCAGCCTTGCTAACTCTTGGAGAAGGAGAAGAATAAGGAAGGCTATGCCTGCCTCCAGTGTGACTTTACCCCCTCCTGCATTCTGGATGCATTATTATCTTATGCTGAAACTTGACATAACAGGTTAAGATTTTTTTATTGAAAAATAGGTGTACTGTTAAAGTCCTAACATAAGGTTCTCTAAGAGAAGAATGGCAGCTCAGTCTCCTTGTAATTAACTGAGGTGATTTAAAACAGACAATGTATTCATTACTCATCTACTGCTCTTTGACTACACTCTAAGGTGATGTACTCTAGCAGCAGTTAATTGAAGGGACACTAGGTCTCAAACTGGTGAGAGGATACGCTACCACTGTGTGTCTTAGGATTGTACTGAAGCCCTTAACCGCTTTTTGGATCTTGACTGTCAGAGGACCAGCAGTTTTTCAGTGAGATAGAGAGAAGTGAAAACAGTGAGATTTTGGGTAAAAATAACAAGCTGATAGGTAATAATTAACACTGATTTGCTGATTTGACAACTTGTTCTCAATCTAATTACCTGGAGCAGTGTAACAAGTCTTTTGGATACTGGGAAAAAAGTAGGAATCATTTGACCCACTTTTAGTAAGGCATTGTCTTGCATGACAGTATTATAAGTTTGCTAGCAGAGGGGAAACTACTAGTGAGCGAATACAAAACTGGCGGATCTCTACCCATTGGACAACAAATCTTATTTGTATCCACTGTGGTCATACTGAGTGGGGCTCCCTGGGGGTCTGTTCAGTGTTTCTGTTGACTGAGTGGATAATGGAGTGGGAGAGTGTGCTTATTAGTTTTACAGCTGTCACACAGCACCAAGAAACTGCAGTACTTGACAGAACAGGATTAGAGGTGGAAGCGAGCTTTCTAAGCTAGAGAGGTGCTCCAGAGTAACAGATACAAGCAAAACTAATAAATTTTTACAAATGAGAGGTTTGCACCACCTTCTCCCCTACACGCACATTTTGTAGCATTAGAACAAGTACATAATTGGGGGGTATTTTGGTTGGTGTTCTTTTAAATTTCAGGTGAGGCTGGTACTCAAAATCAGAATTTTAAACAACAATATTTTTATCATCTAGCTGCTATGGGATGTGCCTTGTTGAGTAACAGTAGTTGTCTGGTTTTGTATAATACCTAGCTTCAATCATGATACAGACAATTCAAATCTGAATAATTTTTAAAAAATTCAATTCAGAGAGTTGAATTAAGTGTAATTTCTTAAGTCTTTATGCTGAGATTTCTGTATCCCTAAAACTATAGGATTTGTTCTGCAACTCTTTAAGGAACAAACTTCAGGATAAAAAGGACATTTCTTTCTAACCTAGCTCTCATTCACTTACCACTATGCCAAAGAGTTAGCCAACACACATTCCGCATCCAGAAGAACTGTTTTCATTCAGAAAGACTGGAACTCTCTGAAGAGGAGGTCAAAAGATGATCTTTGTTTAAAACACAGCCTTCTCTTGCAGGCTGCACAAAATCAAATAGTTCAATGAGCTTGTGCTCTTTGCTACAAGAATCCTTACTCCTAACCATTGTTCTAAACGGGTGCCTCTTAAAACTGAAGAACAGCTAGCAAAAGAAAGGGTCCTCTGTTGGGTGGGTGTTAGGTGGGGATGTCTCACTGTACTGAACCGAACTTCCAAGGAGAATGCAGTTTTCTAGCAGCATGCTTGCTTGCTTCCCTTGCTAAGTATGCGTATCTTGAAGTTCTGGGGAGTAGTGCTCCAAGAAGAAAATCCCTTTGAGTAGGTGTGCTATATGTACATTGCCATAGGGTTTATTTAAGTATGCCCTTCAACATTTTGAGAAAATTATGTATTGTGTTACCAACCTATCTTTGTTGCTAGTTGAAATATAGAATAGTGCTCAGAAGTTTACACTATAAACAGTGTTTAAGAAGCCTGTATGCTATCGGGGGATAGTTTGGAGGGAGTATGTAGAATAAAGCTCGTGCTGAGGCAGGGTGATGTATAAGGAAGTAATAGTTTGTTTGCTTGCTTGAAAAAGAAAAAAACCTGCTGAGATATTAAAGAAGCCGGCAGTTGGCCAAGAGACCAGAGAAAATCTGGGACACAGGTTGGAGCTGAACTCTTCTCCTTTTGTTGATATCTCAATCATGTGAACTTCCTCACGTAGCTTAGTCTGGGCTTGAGCGGTCCAGCCATTCACAAACCTATACCTAGAATTCATAAACATCCACTCACGGTAAGTTATTAAAGCATTTAGGGACTAAGATGATTAATCTTTTATAGGTTTTTGTTCAAAGAGAAAAGGTGGAGAGATTACAGCTGCTTGAGAGCACCTGTTTGTGAATCTGTTGTAGATTCAACAGGACGGCTTGACCTGTATTTTGGAGAAAAATAGTTGCTGTTTCAAAAATAGGAACTGAAAACTCCACTGTGAGATGGATGTTTACAACCCCTGAAAGCCAGCCATCAGAGACAAAACAGGGGTTAGCTAGAATGTACTTTAAAAACACAAAAGCTGTTGAGAGTTTAAAATGTTGGCTGAGTGCTCTATGCAGCTGACATTGGAAGGGTGAAGGCAAACTGGTGCCACGTTCTTTGCCTTGGGACCAGTTTTAAGCGCAGAGCCAGAAACCTGCTCTCTCCCATCAGTAACGAAAGCTAAAATGGAAATGAGAAGACCATGAAAACAAACTAATTAAACATCTAGTGAAATAGATGTAACACTGTCAGACGTTAGGCAAACAAAAGTCATTTTTAGATAAGAGCATTACCACTATTTCGGGCTGAATTTTCAGCTGGCACAGAGTATTCTATCAGCCTCCATACAGATGCAACCATGCGTTTGTATGCCTAATTTAGGCAGTTAGAAGTGCAATTACCACCCTACCTGCAAATTGTAATTAGTTTAAGCTGTCTTGGTGCCTTTATCAGCTGATCCATACACTGACACTGACTGTAAGTAGAGTCTGACCATAGTGTGAGCTACCCTCTGTGGTTGAAGCAAGTTATCATGTATATAAATACATATATGTATGAAGTAGTGAAAAAAAGATGCTTACAAAGACATGTGAAGCATCCTTTTATTTTTACCCTACATAGGGAGGCCTAGTGTGGGTACTTTATATGAGTGAAATTAAGCAATTAACGTTCTGATATTTGTATTAATTTTGGTAGAAAGAGGAGAACCTTTATAACTCTCATTCCTCCTCTCCCTCCAGCACCTCAGTTTCTTCGAGGGCTGAGGAGGAAGGAAGGGGCTTTTGGCCTAATGCTGGAGAGCCCAGCTTTGCCGCTCAGCTTACCAGGAGCACTGCAGAGCCCATCCTATTTTGGGGGAGGTAAAATCTTGCACCTCCCAAAGCCCAGAAGCAGGCTGCCTTCTGCCTCACCAGCTCAGGTCTCCCTGGCACCTGTGAAGATCGGGTAAAGGATGATTTTTCGCACTTCTCTTCCACCACCTCCCTCTCCATCCAGAGATTGAGGAAAGCGCAACGGCCTGGTAAGCACGCTCTCAATTTATTAATGGATTCTTTAAAATGGGATTGACTGGAATATAAATTGTATTACCTGAGCTCTTGCAGATGTTGTTTTGCATATGGTTAAACCCAGTAATGTTTATTTGTCAGTGTTTGGAGATACTAACTACCTCTCATAAATATTCAACTTCTGTCTTTACCCAAACAGTCAGTAATCCATTGGCTATGTTGGATTGTAAGTTCCTACATTGTTCCTGCTGCTCAGTGATGGCAAAGAT